CTTCCCCTTCCCAAACATTGTTGTCCCACATCATTAAAATGCCTCCCCTAGGGCCACTAGCCTGCAGTTCCCCATATTTGACCCCTCTTTTTCCCCACACTTGTTTAATTTCCTCCCCACTATTTCCTTCAAGCTTTGTCTCCTGTAAGCAGATCACATTCATTCTTTAAAGAATGAACTTTAAAGATAAGGTAAAATGTGAATTGGAAAATGGTGAAAAATGTAATTTCATTGATGAGGAAAATGAAAATTTATGTGCTTATTTATAAAGAAAAAAATCATTTCTTCTAGTTCTAAAGAGTTGATAATAGAGTCTATCATCGTTATAGTTACTCGGATTTCAATTTAGTCAAATAATTGATTCATAATTTTTTTGGACAATTTTTTTTTTCATTTTTGATATTTAATTTCCTTTTCTAATATCAATTTATGCGAAATTTGTGAAATTATTTTTTCCAATAAAATTTATTTAATACTCGCGAATTTATTTAAGCGAAAAATTCCAAAATAGCTTCTAAGTTAAAGCTATTGGCCGATATGTTAACCCTACCTTGGCGATTTAATTTTCTTCACTTGATAATTCACAAAGTATTATAGCTCTCTCTTTTGAAGTTAATTTGTTGCATTTTCTTTTTCAAAAAATATGGCTCTACCAAACCAACAAATTGTAGATTATCTAAGCTTCAAGTTCGTCATGGTGGATGATGGCAAAATAACTTTTGGTTAGAAGGCATCTCAATGATGAATTTAACAATACAAATTTAGTATCGATATAGTCTAAAAAGCATGAAATGAATGTGGTGTTGGTGAACATTTGGATCTCTGCCTCAAATGCATGTGGTCCAGACGAACATTCTTCTCAATAGCCTAGAGGAAAATGTGATAAATATACACCATGAGTATGTATGTATATGGATCAATAGTAAAAACAAAATCGTGTTAAAACAACAATCTCAACCAGTGTTTTAAAAGATTACCGTTAATTTTGACCTAAATCCCACGTGTTCAGCCTGCTCCTTATCAGCAATTAAATCACTGATTTTTGCCCCTTTCCCATCTATTGTCCTATGGTCCTTGTCCATTGTCTTCTTCATCTCATGCAAGACCACTCTCGGCTGGACTTCCGGCCAGATCGGACTTTGTATTCTTGTCCCCATTTTCAACCAAAGTTCCAAATGTTTTTGGAGATGCAATCAAACAACAAAAGGGCTTTCACCTTTGCCACAACTCACGTCAAGAATCCCATCTTTCCTCATCTTAATCTGATTGCTATAAACATTATCTCTCTGTGTGGGGACAGTGAACACTTAGAGTAGAATATAAAAAATGTAGCATTATTCAACATAATTGCAGATCAACAAAGGGATATTAAGAAATTGACCTGCTTCATAACATCGCATAAAAGAAAGGGAGACAGCGCCTTTCTATCACTTTGAATAATGCTACATTTTTTGAGATTGGTGACTGTTTCACCCATGTACTGATTTAAAGAAATAGAACCAATCTCAAAAAATGTAGCATTATTCAAAGTGATAGGAAGGCGTTGTCCTCCTTTCTTTTATGCGACGTTATGAAGTAGGTCAATTTCTTAATATCACTTTGTTGATCTGCAATTATGTTGAAGTTGCTTGTCTTATGTTTAAGGATATTTGGTCCTCATTCTAATAAGAATATTCCTTTCTACTAAAAGCACTCAGTTATGTTCTTTAAGTAAGTGCCCAGATTTTGTTTTTGTTGTCGATTATCATTGTTTTCTTGTTATCTTTCTGTCAGGAGGAAGATCTCTTCACTATGACACATGGCCTTCCTCTAAAGGTAGATGGAGATGACAAATGTTTGACAATGCTACATGCAGTCGAAGAAACAATTGCTCGTCAATTACGGGCTTGTAAAGCTACATTGTCTAAGAAGAGAGTTACAGAAGGTAGTCATTGTGCATGGTGAGAGCAACCTTAGATATAAAAGAATTTAGACGTAAAAAAACTATGCTTTCTGCTACTGATAGATACTAGATAGTGCATAACATTTTGTCCTTTGTGTTTTCCCACTTTTTTGATGCTAAAGGAAGAATTATATTACTTTTTGCCTTATCTAAAAGTTGGAAGAAATATTGCATCTGTACACTCTACCCTTCCCAGACCGCACTTTGTGGGACTACACTGGGTTGTTGTTGGCTTGGCAGACAAACTTCAATTCTAATCTTACTGCTGACTTCAGGAAAATAGAAATTGTTCCAAAAATTTCACCACTGTTTTTACCTTTGGAAGTCTGAGTTGTTACTTTGTATTTAACATCATAATGCCTAAAATCATTTGAGAGAGAAGAGCTCTGTCATGTCTCCTATTGGTATCCTAATGCTATAATCACCAGGAAAAAGCTTGCAAACTGAAGGCATTGTGTTATTATTGATCATGAAATATTTCCCTTGCTATAAAGTACAGAGTGTTGAAGTTTGTCTTTTTGAGTGAAGCTGTATTTGCCCTTTTGGCAAGGTTTGTGCTGTCACTTGTGCAACTTTTATTTTAAATTTATTACAACGAGGTAATGCTACCTGATTTAAATTTTTTTTATTACAATGAGGTAGCCTTCAAACTTTGTCTTCCAGGTGTATTATATTGTGCAAAACCAGAGTTGCGACTTTTATGTAAGGTTGTGAACTTTCCGAAGAGTTGTGACTTTTCCAAAGAGTTGTGACCTTTCCGGTAAGGCACAACAAGCATTTTTTCACACTACCTTTGTTGTCTATAAATAGAGGGGTTTCCTCTCATTTTAAAACAATGAAAATTCTGAACTACTTCTTCTTCTGCACAATTAAATATTTAATTCTGAACTAATACTTCTTCTTCTGCACAATTAAATACTTGTGTACTTTGATCCTGTTTAGTGGCTCACTAACACTATTGTTTTTGTATCATTACATTGGTGAATAAAATCGTTTCATCCTGAGAGGATCTATTTCTTTAAACCTCGGGTACTAGAGGGGAATGATTTTCTTAAGGAGACATCGTGTATTCAGCGGGCTCGATTTTTCCTTTTTGTTTCATTTTATTGTTACAGATCCTGGTTTTTTTTTTTCCGTCATTAATTTATGCTTATGATATTAATTGTTGTTTTCGAGTACATATTTTAAACTTTATTATTTATGTTTCTGTAAAGTTATTGTTATACAATTATATGATACACAATGATGACTATTCTCTCACACCAAAGTACTTTTTTGAAGTTTTTTCCCATTATCCCTTACTTCTCTTTCATCCTTTTCAAGGATCCTTAATGTTTTGTCTGTGCACAACTTCATTTCCAAAACACTATCATAACTATATTACATATGAAATTTGGATTTTGGAAGATTGCATTTTAATTTTAAAACACATAATGACTACATATTACTTATTGGTATATCAAATGATTATGGAATCTTTGCTCTTGATAAACACATTAGTTTTTTAAAACTTTTTTTTTAAAAAAAAAATATTTAATATTTTGAAAGTAATTGATAGTGTTATACTAACGAAATTTGCAAAGAAGAAAATTGAGAAAAATATTTATTTGACTCTCTAATTAAAGACACTACGTAACCATGCATATAGATGATAAAATAACTAACCATTGTAAAATTTCAAAAGCAAATTAATGAATTTATAAAATGAAATTATGTAAACTAAGTGAAAATAGTGTTATGATTTGTAATTTTGCCTTTTCTTTTAATAAAACAAATGGTAAACTACAATTGAATAACCTCTATACTCTTAAAAACAGATTTACATAAAAATACTATAACATCAAAATACAAGAAAAGTTCTATTCTAATAAATTTTAAAGAAGAATGTTCTAACCGCGCGCAGCGTGGGCCCATTTACTAGTAACTGATAAAGCTGAGCTTTCCTAGCTCTTTAAGTTTAACATAGTGAAATATTTCCCCATAAATACAACAAGGGTAGACTTTGAGCCTTCAAAAAGGTTGTAATGCTGACATTAGCTATGGACATGCGGTGCATCTTTTGGGTAAGAATGCATAATACTGCTATTCTAATCAAGATCTTTTCAATACCATGAAAACTTTGGTTCATGAGGATTTCTGATAATATAATTTTGCCAGAATCTAATTCTTGCATCTTCTTGATGCTGTTATTAATACCACTTACCTTATCAAATTTCTTTTTTTGCCAGAATCATAACTGTTAAGAACTATTCTGGGTCTTCTATTTGTTTGGATTTTTATCCTTGTATTAGTTTAAGTCCGGTCCTCTAATATCTAACACTCTTTATTTCTCATGAACAAGCCCTTTTCTATTAAGGAAAAAAACACTTCATATTTTCTGAAAATTGTAAGTTTTAAAAGCATGATGTGGTCAGAGAGTTTCATTCTCATGGAGAAAACTGCAGGAGCTTAGTGAAACTTCAACTATGCTTATCCCATCGACCACCATACGTTCTTATGTGTTGCTTATCTTTTGTGCAGATATAGAACCATTACAAAATAACCCTGATTTGGAGGAAGGATTCTGCAAATCTTTGTTATGCCGATTACGTTTTCGTAAGGTCTTACTCTGTGTTGTCATTTCAATAAAATTCTGTTATATAGGTCTTGCCGCCACTTTTCTTAACTAAAATCTATGTTTCATTTCACTCTATTAAGCTAGAGATTGATAATCATCTTGAGGATGTAGAGATGTTTTACTTGTTGACCAGGTTTCATGGCTCTCTCTGTCTTTTCTTCTGCATTCTCTCTCCCTCCGATTGATTTTGGCCTCTACCTTTGTATGCCATCATCAAAGCTGATGATGGGATTTCTGATTTTGGCTTGCAATTCAGTAACCTTTGTTCAAAAGAAGATAAATTAGGACGTAACTGATGCCCATATATCAAAAAGGAAACAAGTAACCCAAGCCCAAGATTTTTCAAGCTTCCTTGGGTCCATATGAACCATATAAATGATTATTAGAATGTTAACTGTTTAGTTTGTCAAAAGAATGTTAACTGTTTAGTATCAGATTGTTAGATTAAAGCTTTAAAAGATATGAGTTCCTATTAGTGAAATAACTGGAAGGGGTCATTTGATTGGTTTAATAAGGATAGAACCATGTTGGGTACCTACACGATCTGCAGAAGGGGAAAATATATCAGATATCAATATATCCAGAAAAGGGAAAGGAATAGCTGGCAGCAGTAGGCATGTGACTGGGTATGAGTGTTTTTTGAATTTGCAGGACCCACATGCGGGACCCAGTGACTTTACATGTGGTACAAATTTAAGAATGGAAAGGGATTTAATTACTGATGGGCTAAACTCTATTGGGCTCACTTCTGGGAAGCCCATTAATCTAAATACAACACAACCTTCAGTCACTCTCTCTGAGGCTATTCATTCAAGCCCAATAGAGGTTAAAATGCCATTCACAGAACCTTTCACTGAAGCCATTAGAGAGCAGAAGAACTTGGAGGTAAGTAATTTTGTTAATTTTGATGGGAATAAGGAGGTTGAACTTGGCATGAGGGGAGAGGAAGAAGGTAGGCGCAGGCGGAAAAAAAAAGCAGACAAGGAACGGTTAGAAAAACAAAATCATGGGGAGATTCTGATAATTGACGAGGTTATCGAAAGTCAAAAACAGAGAGAGGAGGAGACGGATTTTTCAGACACTTTGGAAATCATGTACGCAGAGTCAAATCCAGTTCCACTCCAGATTGACATCAGTTCACAAGACGAAGATATGGAAGCAAATGCAACTGAATGGGTTCAAGCGAACATGTTAAATTTGAGCCAGCTGTTTGGAGTTGATCTTAAGGGGTGTAGGAAGGAAGCACATGCTCTATTGATGAAACTTGATCAGAGGGAGAAGGAAAATGGGCTGGGGGAAAGTCAGAAAGTCACTAAGGAGAACAACATAGTCCCGAAAGAAATCGGAAATTTATTCTTCGATGTGAATTTCAAGTATGGAGAGCCAAGATCCAGTGGGAGAATTCTAACTCTCAAGCAATAATGAGTGTTAAAATTCTGTCTTGGAATGTAAGGGGGTTAAATGGAGAGAGCAATAGGGGGATAGTGAGAAAATTATTAAAGCAATGGGAGGCTGATGTTCTAGTTCTTGTTGAGGCAAAATTAGAGGGATCAATAGATAATATTTTACAAAGCATTTGGAGTAACAGATGGATGGGGGTGTTAATGAAGGAGGCTCAATGGAGTAGTGGAGGGATCTTAATACTATGGGATAGGAGAATCTGGAGGGGGGAGTTGTTTCTGAATGGAAACCAAAGCATAACTGGAAAGTTTTCAGGAGTAAATGATGATTTCAGTTGGCATCTCAGTGCAGTATATGCAGACTGCAGCAGAATAAATAGGAGAGTGCTATTGCAAGAACTGTTAGAGCTGAAGCATAACATTAATGGGTCTTGGGTAGTGTGTGGTGACTTCAATGTCACTAGATATCCATAAGAGAGAACAAATTGTCACAGACTAACCGGTGCTATGACAGAATTCTCATCCTGGATTGAAGAAATGGAGATGGTTGATCCTCCTTTATGTGGAGGCTCTTTCACCTGGAGAAAGGGAGAAGATCATATTTGTGCTTCTAGAACTGACAGATTTCTATTTTGTGCAGAGTGGGGAGAGAATTTTACTCAGATAACTCAGAGCAGTCTTCCCAAAATTGCTTCAGATCATAATCCTATTGTGTTGTCCTGTGGAGATGAAGGGTGGAGAAAGTCTTATTTTAAATTTGAGACATGGTGGTTAGAGGTGGAGGGTTTCAAAGAGAAGGTGAAAGATTGGTTGGGAGTCATTTAGTGTGACTGGCAGACCAGGTTATATTTTGGCTGAAAAGTTAAAAATGTTGAAAGTGAAGCTTAAGGAATGGAGCAAAAATAACAAGGGGAACTGGAAACAAAGGAAGGAAGATATTCTCAATCAAATTTCTAATTGGGAAACAATTCAGGAACAAAGGCCCCTTACAGATGATGAACTGCTACAAAAGACACATCTGGGCATGGAGTTTGAAGATGTGGCAAGGAAGGAAGAATTAGCTTGGAAGCAAAGATCAAGAATCCAATGGCTAAAACAAGGTGACAAGAACACACGATTTTTTCACAAAATTGCAACTTCTCATAAAAGATTCAACTATATAGACCAATTGGAAGTGGATGGAGCTGTTACTAAGTATCAGGTTGTGATCAAAGAGGCCGTGCATAATTTCTATAAAAACCTATACAAGGAGGCAGCAGAACAATGGAGACCGGAGTTGAGACTGCAGGAGGCTACAATGATCACTGAAGAAGAAAAAAGTATGGCTGCAGAGACCTTTTGAGGAAGAAGAGATAAGGGAATGTTTGAACTTGTGTGCAATGGAGAAAGCCCCGTGTCCTGATGGCTATCCAATGGTGTTCTTCCAGACTTTCTGGGCTTTGTTGAAGGAAGACATCACCAATACAATTCAATTTTTTCATTCTAATCAGACTTTTGAGAAGAGCTTTAATGCAACTTTTATTGCTTTAATCCCAAAGAAATCTGGAGCATCAGAGTTGAAGGATTTTAGGCCAATCAGCCTGGTGGGGGAGTCTGCAAGATCATTGCTAGATTGTTGGTTGAAAGGCTAAAAAAGGTGGTGTCGAAATTGATCAACAAACATCAAATGGCTTTTGTAAAGGGGAGGCAAATCATGGATGCAACACTTATTGCTAGTGAATTCATTGACTCAAGAATGAAAGGAGGTTCCCCTGGCCTAATGTGCAAATTGGATATTCAGAAAGCCTATGACCACGTGAATTGGTCTTTCCTTCTGAATACTCTCACACAAATGGGATTTGGTAGCAAATGGATGAAGTGGATTGAGGTATGTATAAAAACAGTTAAGTTTTCTGTCCTTGTGAATGGGATCCTGTGGGCTTTTTCGAATCAGAAAGAGGGCTGAGACAGGGTGATCCTCTCTCTCCTTTCTTATTCATTTTGGCATTGGAAGGCTTTGATAGTATGATGGGGATTGCAACACAAAACAGATGGATTAGAGGCTTTCAGGTCGGAGATAGAGTGGGGGAAGAAAAAGAAGTATGTCATATGCTCTATGCAGATGACATTATCCTCTTTTGTGAACCTACAGCAGAACAAATTAGCTACATCAGAGTTATTTTGGTTTTGTTTGAAGCAGTTTCAGGGTTGAAAGTAAACTGGGGAAAAGTAGTCTCTTTCCTGTAAATGAGGTCCCTCAGATCCAACAACTAGCAAATATAGTGGGATGCAGAGTGGAGCATTTGCCTACCATATATCTAGGCATGCCCCTTGGTAGCAAACACAAAACAATGGAGATATGGAATGGTATTCTGGTGAAAACTGAAAAGAAACTTGCTACGGAACGACAGTCGAATGCTAAGTTGTCTCAAAAGCCATTGTTGTCTTCCCTAACGCAAACTGATTCTCTTGATGAGTGGGAGGGAGACGCAGACGACGAAGCCGAATGCATGCGACCTCTATCTCTTCTCTCTCTTCCTCCTATCCACTATGTTTTCTCTATTGGGTGTTCTCAAGATTCAGGTTTCTCTTCCCCAATTAGTAGCGACACTTTGTCACTACCCTGGTCCGGTGACAGCTTGGAGGAATAGGTTATTTCACACCCGACAGTTATCGAAACCTCTCATTGGACCAAGATAGTGATGACTAAAGCTTGTAAAGCCTTTGGGGTCAATTCAGTGGGGTTTGAGCACGAAATCTTCGATATGATACTGCGAATGGAACAAAAGAGGAAGTTACAGTTGCAGAAATCAAAGGGGAAAGAGCAACAGAAGAAAAGATCAAAGGAAAAGGGTGAGATTGTGGCAAAGAAGTTGCAGTGCACAATTAATTATGAGAATGGAGAAGGGTCAAGTAGGGGCAAGTTCCACAAGGCTTTCTCGGAATGAAAGCAAAAATTATCAGTTGGAATATAAGGGGGCTTAATGATATAAGCAAAAGAAGCACCATCAAGCTACTTATTCAAAAATGGAAGCCTGACATCTTGTGTTTACAGGAAACAAAAACAGAGTGTTGTTCTGTGGCAATAGCAAGACATATTTGGGGATCAAGATGGGTCGAATGGGTTGAATTGAAAGCAAGTGGTACCAGGGGTGGCATTATTATTTTGTGGGACAAAAGACAATGGAAATGCTTAGACTCTTACCAAGGGCAGCATACTCTTTCTGCCATGTGGGAGGGTTTGCAGGTGGACTTCAGATTCTGTTTCTCTGGGGTGTATGGACCTCACTCAACTCCAGAAAGGCTTGACCTATGGGATGAGTTGGCTGCTGTCAGAGGCATTTGGGATGGATGTTGGGTCATAGGTGGTGACTTTAATGTATGTAGATATGAACATGAGAGGCACAATTGTATAAGGAGATCCCAGGACATGAAGGACTTCTCTGAATTTATTCAAGACATGGGTCTTATTGATCTCCCCTTGCATGGTGCAACTTATACATGGACAAGGGGAGAGGACTTTCTGCAGGCTTCCAGAATTGATAGGTTCTTAATTTCCACTGAATGGAATGAATTCTTAGGAGTTGTGAAGCAGGTGGCCCTA